TTAATGAACACGAAATTAATTATTCGGCAATAGAAAAAGAACTTTTAGCTATTGTCTGGGCCACCAAATATTTCAGGTCCTATCTTTTTGGCAGAAAATTTCTGATCCTAAGTGATCACAGGCCTCTAGTATGGCTCAATAATATTAAAGAACCTAATATGAAATTACAACGCTGGAAAATCAAACTAAATGAGTTTGATTATGAAATAAAATATTTGCCCGGTAAAGAAAACCATGTGGCAGACGCCTTATCTAGAATAAGAATAGAGGAAGCCTATTTAGGAGAGACTTCCAGTAATTCAAATACAATAACAACAGTAGCTACAGTGCATAGTGCACCAGAAGATAACCAAAACCACATTTCAATAACAGAAAGACCACTGAATTATTATAACAGACAATTAGAATTTATAAGAGGAGACTTAAATGAAGTCGAAGTAATAAATTATTTTCATAAAAAAAAAATCATAAAAACATATAAAGCGATAACAATAGAATACGCAAAACAATTAATAATTGAATGCTTTTCTAATAAGAAAAGCGTAATATATTTTCCAATTGAAACAGACTTTTTAATTTTTCAAAAGGCATACGTTGAAATTATTTCCCCAGATAACTTAACTAAAACAATGAAAACTAATAGTAAATTAATAGATATTAACACTTACGCAGAATTCAAAGAAATTATTATTAAAACACACAGAGAACTATTACATCCAGGAATAGAAAAACTATCAGCACTTTTTAAAGAAAAATATTATTTTCCCGATCACCAAAAATTAATTCAAAATTTTATTAATGAATGCGAAGTATGCAACATCGCAAAAACAGAACACAGAAATACTAAATTAGAATTCGAAATAACCCCAGAAATTTTTAATCCAAGAGAAAAATATGTCATTGATTTTTATATGATAGATAATAAACAATTTTTATCTTGTATAGACATTTATTCAAAATTTGCCACCTTAATAGAAGTCAACAGTCGAGATTGGTTAGAAGCAAAAAGAGCATTAACTAAAGTTTTTAATGAAATGGGTAAACCAAACCAAATTAAAGCAGACAAAGATTCAGCTTTCATGTGTGCAGCATTGCAACTTTGGTTAAAATCTGAAGATGTTGTTATTGATATAACAACAAGCAAAAATGGAATTTCTGACGTTGAGAAATTTCATAAAACGGTAAACGAAAAGTTAAGAATCATAAACAGTGAAACAGACATAGAAAATAAGCTAACAAAATTTGAAACTATTCTTTATGTCTATAATCATAAAACAAAACATAACACGACAGGCAGAACTCCTGCAGATATTTTTATTTTCGCTGGAACTCCAAAATATAATACACAGTCAAATAAAATCAATAAAATAGAAAAACTAAATGAATCACGAAATAAATTTGAATTTGATACTAGATATCGACAAGCTCCACTAGTAAAATCAAAAACCACTAATCCGTTTAAAAAGACAGGAAAAATCACAAAATTAGATGATAATCATTACGAAGAAGTAAACAGAGGAAGAAAAATAATACATTATAAGTCTAAATATAAGAAAACAAAGAAAATTAACGAAAATAAATACGATAATTCAAGATGCACGCCAAATGAAAACCAAACCTAACTTATTGATCAACACTATCAACATCTTATTAATTTTAATACATTTTACAAACCAATACTAATCAAATATTGATAATTTCTCATATCCCAAAAGACATTATAAAAACTTCAATATTCAAAATTTTGCCTTACCCAAATGAATTTAATGACATATTAACAGAACCTTTAGAAGACAAATATTATTTTCAAAATAATCAAATATTTTCATTTAACACAAAAGAAAGAGTTACAAATAAATGCATTATAGGAATATTAAACCAAGCCAATGCCGAATGTAAATACACAAAAATGTATAAAAAAAAAATATGAAACAAATTATATAGAGCCAAATTTTATAATTACTTGGAACTTACCGAAAACTATTTATGTTAACAATAATGTAACAATGATAGAACCACTGTCAATAATTGAAGCAAAAGATATAATAAGAATACATACAAGAAAAAATAACACATTTCAAATTATAATACTTACTATTTTAATTGTAATAATTATAATTTTAATTATTTACTTCATCTATAAATTTAAGAGTATTCCGAGAAACATTGTAATTAAATATAAAAATCAAAACAAAAACAATACTAAGAACCCAGAAAATCTAACAGAATTAAACAATATTGCACCAAATTAAAATACCCTACAATTAAACGAAAATACTACACAAACTAATATACCCACTCACATATACCCTAATATATCCGCCTGAGGACAAGCTCTTTTCTAATGGATGGGGAAGTAACATACCCACACCCACATATCTACCACATAAAGTAACATACACACACCCACATATCTACCACATAAACATATTTACATTACGCATTTGTCATCCCACCAAAATCATCGGCTCCCAAGAGTTGCCAATTAATATAAACATCCTCTTGAATTATAAACAAATGAAAGAACCCCAAATTGTCGGCTCCCACGACTGATCAATTAATGTAAACATCCTCTTGCATTATAAACAAATGTCCCCAAACTCCAAAAAGCTTTTATCCCCCAATACTGTAAAATTGCAGACGCAGCTCAAACCTAGATCGCTCTCTTGCTCAGTGCTCTCATTTTGGACACTCTCAATTTATCAATAAAGTTCTTTCTCCCAATCGAAGGTTTGATAAGCGCCAGCTTAGTTTTTAAGTTCGAGTTTTAAGTAGAATCTTGTAAGGAGTAGACCTATCTCTCCCAGTTCGCGTTTACACTATTTTGATAAAAAAGAATTATATTTTTTTCAAAGTGCTAAATCCCGAATTTGTTATTATATAGTTGTTTGATTTTTTTGTTATATGTTTAGACAAATTTTCTATATTTTTGTTACAAATTTCAGCACGCTATGGTCATTATTAGTATTTTTGACCGCTCTTCCATACAAGCGGATCCACTGTGCACTAGGAGACTACAGAAGTATTCTGGCAGTTACAGAAGGCGAACTAAAAGATCAATTCAGTGAGTTGCTCTTTCTTTCAAAACGAACTTAAATGCCTAGGACATAGTAAGCGAACAGGGCAACAAATTGGACCCTTATTAAGCAGGGACTGAAGAGAACCGGTACCGGTACCGAAACCGGAACCGTTTCCTTTTTACGGAACCGGAACTGGAACGAAACCGAAATTTTAATTTTCGATGGAACCGAAATTGAAACCGGAACCGCTAACAGATTTTTATAGGAACCGAAACCGGAACCGGAACCGGTATTCCAATCGGTTTCAGTCCCTGATATATACATATGTTGTCGCAATTACTTTTCTACACGATTATACATTAAAAAAATGGAACCGATACTGGAACAGGAACCGATTTGTAATATTTTTTAGGAACCGGAACCGAAACCGGAATCGTTTTGTGATTTTTCTTAGGAACCGAAATTGGAACCGGAACCGCTAACAGATTTTTATAGGAACCGAAACCGGAATCGGAACCGGTATTCCAATCGGTTTCAGTCCCTGATACATATGTTGTCGCAATTACTTTTCTACACGATTATACATTAAAAAAATGGAACCGATACTGGAACCGGAACCGATTTGTAATATTTTTTAGGAACCGGAACCGAAACCGGAATCGTTTTGCGATTTTTCTTAGGAACCGAAATTGGAACCGGAACCGCTAACAGATTTTTATAGGAACCGAAACCGGAATCGGAACCGGTATTCCAATCGGTTTCAGTCCCTTTTATTAAGTACCAACTATTTGGGATCTTCCTACGCAGGAAGTGCAGAGTTTCCTTGGCATGACGTCTTGGCACCAGATATTGGTTACAGAACAAGTAAGTACTCTGCAGGACATAGTAAGGCAAAAACAAAAAACAATTCAAACTCCCAACTCTCGACGTAACAAACCAATCACACGGTAAAATAAATTATTGCAAAAATAACATGCGACGATCAGACAAAATGGGATGAACATATTGAAGCCGACGGGATACAGTCCGGCTCAGTTACTGTAATAAAAAAAGTTCAAACTTTTAGGACTACAGCTGGATGAGGTAACAACAGGTTCTCGATTGAACTGAAGACCTTCAAGTTAAGATGTGAAAGACTGGATGGAAGCATACAAAATGCAAAAACACAAAAACGATAATAGAAGCCAAATATTGGCCAGTCAATTTTTCTGAAAGGTCATTGTGGTAACAAAACACTCGATGGGCAAGAAAATCAAACTAGCATACATCAACTCATTAATCCCAAACCCATTGCAACGGTAATGATAGTAATGTTTCCTGTATTCTACGTATGTTTCCCGTATTCTATCAATTATAGACCGACTGAAAAAAAATTGGAAAACAACCCTCTAACAGCCAGTCGAGGTGGAACAAGAGTCAAGACGAAGGCAGCACAACTACGGGTGGCGAGATGGTACCGCACGTCTTACACCTTGTGGACACAACCCAACACGACCGAAATATGTCGTGCAACAACAGAAGGATCGAGGCTGCCAGACAGGGAAACGACATCGACGACTAACCAAGGCCGAAAGTGCTGTATCCGAACCACCAAAAACACGGTCTGCAACAGAAGCCCGGCGTGGCAAAGTCTGTCTCACCAGGCAGGGACGTATTGAAGCACCAGCTGCAAAAGCGACCTTCAACCGCCTTTTTAAAAATCCATCAAAACGCATCCCAGACGAGCGTTTCCCGTCAGCCACCTTCCCCTCCCGCTCGAAATTCCTTACACGGCACGCCTCGGTGGACCTCACCAGAATCACCGTTAAAAATATGTATTATATTTTTGACTTGGTATATTGTTAAGCGGAAAATGCTTTTATCCTGCTTTTTTCTAAAGTTTACAGCACATCCTTCTGAACTAAACTTAATATTAGAAAATTAAAATCTTAAATATAATAATACAAGTAATATAATATCAAAGTTTAGTGTGTACTTTACCTCTCGAGTTACTAAAAATCCAGCCGTCAACGGGGAAATAAACGACGCAGACATATGAATTGTTTGGCAAAATGCCAGAACGGCAGCAGAATGTCCATAATTGGGCGCTAAGTCAATTATATTAGCCATGGCTCCCGCATAAGATGCAGTTATAAATATCACCGCTATAAACCATACTGTTAACAAAATGTGTACATTATCTATATAACCGATACAATATATTAAGAGCCCTGGAATAATTTGTGATAGAGCTGTAAATAATTTTCTTACATTAGTTAAATTTAAAACCTTGTACATTACAAATTTATCAGCCAAAAAACAAAAAAATACCGATGAAATATATGAGCAAACAAATGGCATTCCAGATAAAAAGCCATTGGTTTCAAAATTAAACTTTAAAACGTTTCCCATAAAAGTGGGACCATTAACAATAAAAATATAGTGAACAAATATTCGACCAAATGTCGTTATAGCAATCGCCCAAGCAGGTAAGGACTTAAAAATTTGCAACCAGGGCACTTTAACTTTGGCTGCATGGTAAACTTCTCTTCTGATATTAAGTTCTATGTAATTTAGTTCTTCTTCAGCAATCCGAGGATGTTCTCGGGGGGTATTGAAGGCTAGTAAATACCACATTAAACACCATCCAAGTCCTAACGTACCAGTAGTATAAAAAACGTATGGCCAACCAAATTCCGATAAAATAAACCCGCACAATGGGTAAGTTAAACCGATACCAATACTGAAACCTTGAAAACTTGACATAAAACGTGAACGTTCCGTAAGCGGTATCCAATAGCCAACTATAGCATACATGGCAGGCCAGGTTAGGCCAGAAGCAAATCCCTGAATAGATCTTAACACAATAACAGCTATGTAATGTAATTGTGCTGCTAACGGCATCAAAATACTACATATAGCTGTTGCTAACTGTGACCATCCAAATACGCACTTAGTTCCAAACAGTTCCGTGGCAACCCCTCCAGCCACCTGTGATAACACATAGCACCAATAAAATGAACTTATTATGACAGATTTTACCATAGATATTCGGTCGTCAGAGCCACCACCCTAAAAATATTAAAATAAAATAACTTTATATTTTTTTTTATTATAATATTACCAAAACTGTTTGCGATCCGTAATTCGATTGGTTTTGAGTTGAATTGCCATTTGAAATCATAGCTACCAAAGCAAAATTCATATCATTGCGCATCATAAAAGAGACCAGAAAGCCAGACCAAGAAAGGAAATAAAGCACTAATCGAGCCGGAATTTTGTCTGTAATGATACGTATTCGAATATTATAATATTTTTTTAACGAAAGTGAAACCAGCATCAAAGATCTTATAGCTAATGGGACTAATTAAATTAATCTTAAATTATTCACCGTTACATAAGGATGGGTGAAAGACTGATGTGATTAGACAACAAGAAAGGAAAGCCAACTTCGGGCGGAGCCGAAGTTGATACACCCTTGCAGAATACTCTGTAAATTATATTCTCCAAAATTATTCATATGATGCATTCTTAATACTCATGAAAATCCCAACTTCCTAACTTTAAAAACACCAAAGTTATGGCATTTCCAATCGTTCAGTTATATGGCAGCTATAGGATATAGTCGTCCGATCCATATGAACTTTGGTAGGTCGGATTAATTGGCCAAAAATAAAACCCATAGGAAATCCCAACTTTCCAACTTTACAAACACCAAAGTTATGGCATTTTCGATCAATCAGTTATATGGCAGCTATAGAATATAGTCGGCCGATCCTTATGAAATTTGGTAGGTCGGATTGATTGGCCAAATATAAAACCCATAGGAAATCCCAGCTTCCTAACTTTACAAACACCAAAGTTATGGCATTTCCGATCAATCAGTTATATGGCAGCTATAGGATATAGTCGGCCGATCCCGGCCGTTCCGACATATATACTGCGTGCAAAGAAAAAAAGGGTGTGTGCAAAGTTTCAATTCGACATCTTTAAAACAGAGAGACTAGTTCGCGTAGAAACAGACAGACGGACAGACGGACATGGCTATATCAACTCCCGAGGTGATCCTGATCAAGAATATATATACTTTATATGGTCGGAGATGTCTCCTTCACTGCGTTGCACACTTTTGGCCAAAATTATAATACCCTCTGCAAGGGTATAATTACAATCAGTGTTGGTCGAAAATCTGCATGAAGATTCTCCTCGAATGGGTTCCAAACAATCAATAAGGAATTTAAAATATTTTAATTTATCTGTGCTGGCTACCATGATATTTTTCTCAAACAAAAATGTAATCTACATTCAAAGTTAAAACTCCAGGTTAAAGGAAAAAATCGATTATAGTAAGAGCAAAAAATTCTGAAAAACTCATGCAAGTCATAGTTAGATCTACAATGACATCTCCGACCCTATAAAGTTGATATAAGCATGTCCGTCTGTGAGTCTGTCCGTCTGTCTGTTTCTACGCGAACTAGTCTCTCAGTTTTAAAGATATCGAATTGAAACTTTGCACACACTCTTCTTTCCTTTGCACGCAGTATATAAATCGGAACGGCCGGGATCGGCCGACTATATCCTATAGCTGCCATATAACTGATTGATCGGAAATGCCATTACTTTGGTGTTTGCAAAGTTAGGAAGTTGGGATTTTCTATGGCTTTTATATTTGGCCAATTAATCCGACCTACCAAATTTCATAAGGCCGACTATATCCTACAGCTGCCATATAACTGAACGATTGGAAAAGCCATAACTTTGGTTTTTTTAATGTTAGGAAGTTGGGATTTTTTATGAGTATTAAGAATGCATCATATGAATAATTTTGGAGAATATAATTTACAGACTATTCTGCAAGGGTATATCAACTTCGGCTCCGCCCGAAGTTAGCTTTCCTTTCTTGTTTTATGGTAATATAATTTTACGTCTTACCAAGTTTATTAATTTTCTCACGAATACGGTTATAAATGTACCGAGCATCGTTCTAGGCTAGGAAGGGTAAATTAATTAACAGTTCTCTACTGGAATAAGAAGGTAAGATAAGACTTGCACCACAATTTGGAAACCTTTTGGCAAAGAGGAGAAAGATTTTCTGTACAATGCTGTCAATATGTTTTTCGCATTGTGGACTTCTGATGGGAGTCAAATTTTTTAGAATAGGAAGGATTAGCGAACTAAATAATTACATCAAAATCATCGTTCCATGGACGATAAATAATAAAAAAACAGATCGTTTCCAAAGTCAGTGCAAATGACGTTTGTTTGGGAACTACTTTTGAAGACCTTTATCACAACTAAAGTAACCTATAAAAGGTTAGTAGTGGTTGAAGTAACCTCCAAAAGGTTAGTCGGGGTGGACTAACCTTTTCGACGTTACTTCAGGTGTGATAAAGGGCTTCAAAAGTACTTTCCAAATAGACGTTTGAGATACTTCCGGGAATATTGCGCTGTGACCATCAGCTCAAAGGTATTTCTGAAGTTATTCTGTTAACTTTTTCGAATGTTCCATGTCTTTGACGGAAGCCAAATTGATGTGCCAGGATAACATTGTGTGCTTCCAGATATGGTATTATGCGTATAAGGAGGCAATTTAGACAGACACGATAATAAACTTATTGGTCTGTAGAATGAAGGAATTGTGTGGTCTTTTCCGGGCTTCGGTATCATTATGATAGTAGATGTTTTCCATTTGCCCGGATAGTAGGCGAGACGTATGATCCCATTGAATAGTTTGGAAGTTCAATTATCATTTTTGGTGTTATAAGGTCGAATCCTTTTTCGATTTCAGATCCCCGATGACTTTCGCAATCTGTTGAGTTTCTTATCGGAGTAACTGTTTAGATTGGAGAGCTCAGATCTGGGTGAGCCCTCCACAGAGGATGTTTTGTATTGGTTGGCGAAAGTTTTCCGATGTACCGTAGTTGAGCATTAGGGTCTTTCTTCAGGGCTCGGTTTAGTGTGCGAGTTGCTTCCTTAAGAAGTTGTTTTGAAAATGGCGATCTGTTGGTTTGCCAAGCACGTCGTAGTTGTATCTTTTCCAGTACAAGCTGTTTCAAGTGCAGATTTTGAAATTTTGGGTTTGCACGTCCTTCAATTGTGGTGTTGAAATAGTTGCTGCTGCCACGAGTACATCTTCAAGAGCATCAGTGGATCTTTCGATGTCCGCTTCGATGTTGAGCTGCGGAGTTAGTATTATGTGGGAACTTACATACTTTTTATATTTTACCCAGTTTGTTCTGTGCGATGTCAGTCTCTGATGGTGATCTGGATTTTCTGGGCTTTGAAGAAGACTTAGCACTGGCGAATTGTCAGATGAAATTTCCGAAAACGCTTTGGCGCTTATTATTTTGCAAGGAATGTTTTTTGTCACCTTAAAATCGATTAAGTCTGGGACTTTCCTGGGGTCTGCTGGCCAGTATGTGGGGCTACCTGTAGAAACATAGTCCAATTTGTTGCTCAGTTTTATGATTGCATTATAGTATTGCCTTCCTTTGGGAGTCACGAGTCGTGACCCAGTTGGTACGTTTGAAGCGTTCTTTAAATAAGTTGTAAAAATCCATGAATTGTCCTTCAGAAATTGTAAAGCGAGGCGGGCACTAAACAGCGGCTATGGAAAGGTGTCCGCTACCTGCCTGCAAGTAATTAGTCTCAAACCTTTCACGAAAGTGTTTGATGCGTTCCCTGATTAGGATGCCGGTTCCGCCGGCAAACCTGGATGATCTGTGCGGTAGAAGGTGTAGCCTCTTATTTGAAAATTGCATTTGTTTGTGAGGTGCATGTCTATCAGTATCACAATGTCGATATGATTTTCATTCAGAAACTGTGTTATTTCAAGTTTGAGCCGGGAAACGCCATTGGCGTTCCTCATGGTTATTAGTAGATTTGCCATGGTCGTTTTCCTGTTCCTGTTCGAAGGGTATCGGCGTATGAGAATCCCTTCTGGGTATTTAGCTGACCAAATGAGGATCTTGCAGCCGCCCCGAAAAATACACCTGGCGTCGTTTTGAATAAGTGTACACGTTTTGAGTGTTTTGGTGGCGCGTAGACCACACAGCCCCTGTAGTTTGCCGTGTGATTTCCTCCGCAGTTTCCACATTTCTTCTTTTGGGGATATTTCTTGTTGGCAGGGCAATTGGCGGAATTGTGAAAGTCTCCACAAACTACACATACTGATCGAAGTTTGCAGTATGTTCTGGTGTGTCCATACTCCTGACAGTTTGTACATTGATAGCTGACAACTTATACTTCTTCTTATTTCGTGTAAAGAGAATCTTCAAATGATTTCTTCTAAATATGGGAAAATTTGTAAGTTTCTAGAGATAATGTGAATAATTAGTGAAGGGTTTTGAACATGGTTTCAGCTTAACCCGCAAGAATACTATCGGGACATGGCGAATAAACAGGCTTAACACGAAGAAGACGTTTAAAATCATTATTATAACACTGAGAATTATGCACGATGAGTCTTGATTGACAACAGGTATTTATATTTTTCTTATAAAATCTGACTTAACATATCTTAAGTCTGTCAACTCTTTGCTAAGACAATGAGATTTGTTGGAGATCAAAGGATAGTACCACAGAACACAGTAACTAAAAAATTGTTATTGAAATTTTTAAAAAAATAAGGTAGGTAAATATCTGACCAATTAAAGCCATATGTATTCCTTCTTGACTTCTCTTTTCTTTCTGTAACGTTACCCGTGTCGATTATCACTTCGATGATGAATGTAATGGACAGAAACGCACCTTTAGGATTTGATACTATACTCAAGTCAAGGAGGCAAGAAGTAGTGAATTTTAAACAAAGATTACTTGTCAGCAGATCATCAATACAATCTTGTTGTACTACAAGTAGTAAGTTATCGATCACGTAACTCCAGTTATATTGAAATCTTCTAGAACTACCAACTAATCCTTATTGGGAAGGTTTTTTGAAACAGACTTAATAACGGAAAGGTGACTTACATAATTAGGGAGTTTAGGTAGTTCAGGCGGAATATAGTAAATTCAATTGAATTTATGAACAAACAAGAAAGGAAAACTAACTTCGGGCAGAGCCGTATCAACTTCGGCTTGCAGAATACTCTGTAAATTATATTCTCCAAAATTATTCATATGATGCATTCTTAATACTCATAAAAAATCCCGACTTCCTAACTTTTACAAGAAAGGAAGAAATATACCATTGCAGTTATTACAAAACGACTACAATTCGATTTCTATGCCTATATTACTAAAAACAACGAAACTATGTCGATTTTGCGTTGCATTTTGCCCTC